TAATGAAATAGATCAAAATAGACTCGCCATCTGTTACAATGCATATTGAAGAATCTCTAACAAAAATTATTCCAAAAGTGAAGAATCCTTTTAATAATTTCGAAGTCAGATATTTTTTAAAGAAGGAAATATCATAACTAAGAAGGCAAACATTATTTTCAAGTCAAAAATAAATTTTTCGGGATCTACTAGAAGTAAATGGCGAATGTGTTCATCTTGATATTGTTCACAATATTCAATGCAGGAAACAAGCTAATGATATTTTAACGAAGACGATCAACACGAAATACTGGGAGTGGGACACAGGATGACACACAGTTAAGAAAGACTCGGAATATTACACATAGACATTTATTCCACTAATAAATACAACTTTTTAACTTGCATTAATAAGTTTCAAAAATTCACCACAGTAATTGCTATTGCATCGAGGACAATTATTGAAGTATAGTAAACCAAACTTTGTTACAAACTCTCAATTCTTTTAAAAATACGGGGAGAACCGAATTGATAACGAGACGTCATTGAAATCAAAAACAAAGTCCTCTTTAAAGATCTTTTTGGAGAAGAAATTTCTACAACCCCTCCTTTCCATTGTGCAATAAATGAGCATGTTTGGAGCATAGCAAAACGAGGTTATCTTTTTAAGGATAGTTCTGAATAACTCACAAGCCTTTCATTAAGTATATAGTGCTCAAAAGATAATTTATATATATATATAAGAGGGTGGGTAAATCCAGCCTCCACGAGGAAACATCCCCATATGGCTTTGAGGCTGATCGACTTCGTCGTGGCCCGAAATATGGTTTTCTGTAATATTATACTAGATTCCAGCGTAGAAAAATTCATTAAGCTACCTGGCTGTCTCCGGATCGAAAAGCCACCAACAAGATCGATTATGTCGTGGTAGATGGAAGACACGTCTAAAGTGTTTTAGACGTGCGTAAGCTCCGAGGTCCTAACATCGACTCAACCATTATATTGTTGCAGATACGCACCCGCTTCTGTGCAGCAAAAATGCAATCACAATTAATATTTGACGTCAAACAGCTGCAATTACACCAGACAGCCGAACGAGTTTTTACTCGAGTTGCACTCCTGCTTTCCGGGAGCACTCGTCAACTAATCGGTATAAGGGAAGGAAAGTACGAAGAGCTTGACAAGCTGGCCGACAGGGGTAATGCTTGAAAATTCAACGAAAAGATGCGGCGACTAACAGCAGCATACCCTTGTAGAACCACACACGTGATCTAGTGACTGACTAAGGAGAGAACACTTCTCCAGCCTGCTGGATGACAGTAAAAGTATAACGTTAGTCAGTTGGTCCTGGTAAATATCTGGTCAGTTGTTGTTTTTCCAGGTCTAAAGAAACATTGACAAGGTCCACTCAGTTTGTTGGCGGTGAGCTTTAATCTTTCACACAATACGGTCGATAGAACCTGATATGCGATGTTGAGGAGGCTTATCCTGCGGTGGTTTGCGAAGACTCTGGGGTTGCTTTGTGAATTTTTTAATGCTAGAATCTTGTACGACATGTAACCATATTTCGGCCCCGACGAAGTCGATCAGCGTCAACCCATTTGGGGATGTTTCCTCGTGGATACCTTCCTTGGCCTCAATGGCGTTAATGTCGCTAAGCATATTTTGACATCATGGCCGGGCAGCTTTCAAAGGTGTCCTCCAAGTGCTCATAGAAGACATCTTTGGTCACATTGTCCTTGTTTTCTGTCGGGGCGCGGGACCAAATCAGCGATATGTTGAAGAGCTTCGCTCTGATGCGAATTGTTGATAGACGTTCATCCAGCGTAGCGCAATTATAGCATATCTGGGTAATATTATTTACTCTATAATTTTGATAATTTTGGGTAAATTGAATGTAAATCTCATAGCTTTGGATACAGACGAAATTTTAAAAATATTGATTACACTTTAAATATAAGCCTAGGTGATATTGTAAGTAATTCTATTTCATACTTTAGCTAAGTCCGGAGGCACACGCCGACAAAATAATTTTTCTGGAGATCGATAATTTCAGTTACAAATTGCAGGCAGCGCTATCTGCAAGTTTTTTTTAAATAAAAACGACGCTACATGTGTGAGACAACTATTCAATAATAATAGGGCGACATGCAAAGCTACCTACAATAACTTTGATCATATTATCGAAGTTGACAATGGCTTAATTATCATAACCGACGAAACAGTCGAAGTTCGGGAAGAAAAAAGTCATGGGTTACAATATCCGCTATATATGTAGTGACATTTGAAGGAGAAGTTTGCATTAATGGTAGGAMTTTTTTCAACGAAAAAGTGAAGGCAACGGCTCGACATGGGATTCCTTCAACCCGGAGTATCAAACGCTACAAAACTCCAAGCTAGAATACCGCATTAACGGCCCAATTCCATTTCCATGAATATCAATGATGATTTCGGCTGATTTTTGATAAATTCACGCACAGTTTCGATGGAATTTCCGGTGACCACGGATTTTGACTGGCCCATATTTTGATCGTCAKTTTCTTGTTTCATTAATTACAACGTTTCGGTAATTAATTAATAATAATTTAACAATTTTAAACCAAAATTTAATGATGGCTCTTTGTTCGATAACACAAACATACTCACACTTAAAACGCAATAACTTCACTTCCAATCGATGAAATGTTATGAAATTCCCTGGACAATCGATAAAGATTGAAGATTCCAACGCACCAGTCGATATACTTATAGATGGCGTCATCAGGGCGCGCTAGATTCAAAAAGTACTATTTACTTTGGAATACTCTTTGTAAATTTTTAAGCTTTAGTTCTAGTTTGGATAAATAAAGTGCATAGCGCTCTCTCCTACTGGAATATACGGTCGTTTAATAAGCACATAGTGCTGAAACCATTATTTATATCGTAAAAATTAAATCTGACAAATGAAATATAATCCACAAAAGTTTAAATCGTGTTAAATGGAAAAAAATCATGTAAAAAAATTTCCAATCTTATTTAATCCAAACTTTGTACACAAAGACGGTGTTAAAACAAAATTAGTTGTATATTATTACTTTAATTAATGAGAGCGCAATATAAATTTAAATGGACGCTTCTACCCTCCATAATTTGGGATGTTCGCGAAATTTGAAATTTTTGGTTGCCAGTCTCGATATTTTGTAGTTTTATTATTTTTAACATTACTATATTTGGAATATTCGTTAACTAACTCAAAATCACAGCCGAACACAATTATTTATAAATAGGCCGCCTAATTTTAATTTTTGGATTTTAGTTTGGTCCATTACATTAATGAAAATTATAAGTAAAAATCTAGATGTGTGAAAAACCATGTATACAAATTGAAAATTTTCAATATTGCTGCAATCGGAACAGAACAACTGATTTCTACGTTGTCCCTACGGCAGTGGTCGGCATGAGAGGAAATGCGGATGTGTTAGTGAGCACGAAACTAAAGGCACCCAGTGAAAACTCTTTTACCTTAAATTTTGTGAAAATATATTATATTTTATATATTAGTCAGAACATATGAAAATAAGCTCTAACTAAACTAAATAAGCGATAACTTTTATACAAATTGAGTTAACGTGATTATGTGTTCCTTGGCACCAAAAGAAAGTTATTATTGCGAATGGAATTGGTTCTTTGCCACGACCACAAGATACTAGACCAGATTTTATGTGGAATATAATGCTCTGTATGTGGTTTACACCTATTAAATAGCTTGGAAACATGTTTTTAGGTATAATTCAATAATGCCAGAGGTTTTCCTAGTTCCAATATAAGTTTTGTACAAAAAATTTCGTAAATTTTGAATTTTGGCGGGCTGCGTGTGTTCAATGTTTGCTTGTTTCAAAAAACGTATCAAAGTATCTGCATACAGTTATGTAAAATAAAAACAAAAATAAGTGCGCGCTCCGAATGTTGACTGTAACTTATGGTGAAGCTACCTTGGACAAAAGTAACGTTTATCGGTTCGCAGAGGGTCGAGAAGATGTGAGCGAAGAAGAGCCCAAGCCCAGAAAAGACAAAAATATTAAAAAAGTGAAGAAAATAGTATTGACCAATCGTCGTACAATCATAATTAAGTGTCAAATGGTCAATAAAGAATATTAGTGGTGCCGAAACTGGTTTCAAACCGATAGTATTTAAGGCCAAGTTGTTCAGAAAAATTTTTAGAACATTTTCCTCATATGCTCTTTAATATGAAAAAAATCCACCCACTTTATTGTACAGGGTGTGACAAATTACAGCAGGATTTAAATTTTCTTCCATTTCAACTAGTTTTAAGTAGTGTTTATCAACAGATACCAACGTTTCATATTTCAAATTTCAAAAATATTCTTAGCATACACCAAAGCAAATGCAAACTTTTACATGGAACACATTATTTATACAACAAGACAACTTCATGGCAGCAGCTGCAGTTATCGCTGTCGTTAATTTGAAACTGTTTCTAATTTTGAAGACGATTGGTAGCTGTAGTGTTGACACTAATATGTGAAAAGTAAAATTATTCAGACCTCGAAGTCTAACGTTATTTTATCAACAGAAGTATATATCTGATATATCATTTTTAATAACAAYTGATAATATAAAACAAATAAATGGGCTTATTTTTTTGCACAAGAGAATTTCTTTTTTAACAAAACATCTAAATTTCAATCGAGTGAACAGTTTCAATATGGCAACAAGGAAGCTGTGTACATCAGCTGCTTAATATGCGCTTCCGTTTTGAAAATGTTCAAAAAACTTCATTTGCTCCCTTGAAGTCGTCGTTGTGTTCAAAGTAATAAACATACATTAACATACATACATACATAGTTCATGCACTAAATATACAAAATAACAATATAGATACATATATAAATATATATGTACATTAATTAAATTTCTAAAATTATATGTACATTTGTAAATGAAAAGCATAAACTGATTAATGCGTAAACATGCTCCATTTCTCGTTTAGCAAAATCAGCGTAACTTGCGTTAGCTATTACCTCGATATGTTCACAGACGCAAATTCCTTCCTCACAGTAGGCACACACTTGCCATTTACGTGTATTAGTTAGCCCCTTATAACAAAGATGAGACTCGTTGCTGAGCAATGGTTCGTATTGTTGTTGTTGATTAAATTGCAGATCCTTCAGCTGCCGCCTAATGCTGCTGCCCACACCGCCAACTAAGTTTGCGTCCTGATATTCATAGGGATCATTTCGTCGCATACGATATACACTGCACTTGCGTTCTAATGGAGCAGACGGTGGTTCTTTCATGTGTTCCTCATCGTTAATGGTTCCTCCTGATATATTATTACTCTCAATTTTACTAAACGGTTTGGACAGTGCTTTGGGTTGTTGATGTTCAGGTTTACCTACGTGCCCTGGCGAGGGCATTGGTGTGGCCGGTGTCACAATGATTGCATCATGGTGAGATACATTAATGGAAGTTTTATCTACAGGTATAGTTACCACCTTTTCTGAGGTGGTAATTGCACATTCGGCCGCAGCCAATGGCGTCGTAGGTGGCGTAGCTTCCATTTGTGAGACAAGTGGTAGTGTTGCTGTAGCCGACTTTGGGAGCTTTGTTTGCTGAAAGCTGCTAGCACCACTGCCTGAATGCCGGTGAACTAACTTCGGTAAAATGCCTCCATGAGAATGATGCTGCTGATGCGCGAACTGATAGTGAGGATGTTGATGTGCTTGAATAGGATGAGCATGGCTATGAGAATGGTGCATTTGAGTATGTACATACTGTACGCGCATTTGTAACACTGACTGATTATCACCTTCATCGATAGGCAGTAGAAGCTTCGATTGTGTTGTATAACTCGTACTTAATTTCCTACTCTGTGTTTGTGGCGTGCGCAGATAATTGGTCGGCAGCTGGTGGAACTGACGTGATTGGGTGCGCGTTGGTGTTGAAGCGCCATGTTCACTACCTGATAACGCTGACAATTTCGGTGGATGTAGTTTTGCTTGCAATTGCTGAGTTTTCTTCTGTTGACGCTGCCGTTGACGTGCCTGGCGTGAAGCCAGCGAAGCACCTCCAGCTGCAGCATACATTTTTAACTATTTTCACGTACCGTATTTACAAATATGGCGAATTTACTAATTAAAATCAGTTCTTTAAATATTTCACTAGAGAAAATGCAGTCATTTCTATATATTTGAGCTACGGTGCAAGAGAGGAATAGTCCATTTTTGATATTCCTTTCAACTTAGCGTCTTTATTACACTACTTATTTAAATATGTGCGCTTTTATTGTAAAACGAAATCTGTTTGAAGCTTTAAACGAACCTGTTTCCAATTTAGCGCAATACACTCATTTTGTATTCATATAGCGAGTAAATTCAGATGAATGGTCTTTGAACTCTGCAATACTGTTCAATATATAACTCAATATCGGTGTGGAAGAGAGTCATGAGACCAAAAATGTCCTTATATAAAATTTTGACCTTTGAAAAATAAAAAGTTGTGTCTCCTTAAGGGGATAAAGATTAAATATGACCTATGTTTTTGTCTGCTCACCAATAATAGTTCAATTCCGAACTACAAGTAGATATTTGGGCATAAAACTGATAAAATTTTAACTGATACCAATCATCAGCGGAAGCATTTGTGAAAACAATGTTAAAGCTTTTAAATTCATAAAGATTTCAAAGAAAACGTAAGTCTGCACAAAGTAGTATATAGTATACGAGGTGTGTTCAAAAAGTATCGCGAATTT